GAATGAATGGAAATCCAAAGTCTCTGTAAATTTTCATTAAAATTAATAATAAAAAAATAACCAAAAAAAGTATACAGTAAAAAGATGAGCTTCCCTCTCACTCCCAGCACCCTTCCCAGAGCCATCTAGTCAGTAACTTCTTTGCACAAGTCAATACACATGTATTACATGTATCATTTTTAAAAGCACAAGAGAGCATACAGAACTTCTATGCCTTGCTTTCTTTCCTATGTACTACAGTGTTCTGGGGAGTGTTCCAGATCACCCACACAGATCCCCTTGATTCATTATACTGACTACACAGCATTTCATTGTCTAGCTCAAACTCCATAGCAGTTGAGTTAGAACCACCTCATAGCTGACACTTCAGTGGGGTTTTGGAGGCATTAACTCTCAAAGGAGATCACCATCTTCTTCCCTCAGGACTGCGGGTGGATTCAGACCAGCAGAGGTACTGACTTTCCGTTAGCAGCGAAATGGCCTATGGACTATGCTGTAATATAAAAAAATTAATTCTGCTCCAGTGAACTTGTTTCCTTTTCTTTAGAACTGCCATTTATAGGATACCACTTTGTACATTTCTCATTGAATTATAAGAAGGAAGGAATAAATGTCTTGTACATGAAGTTCTTAGCACTGGGCCTGAAACATAGTAAGCACACACAATCTTAGCTGCTGCTGGTTTTTTTTATGCTTCGTGTACATATGTGGGAGCATAATCTTAGGCTAAATATTGAAGTATGCATGTGCTGAGTCAATGTAGATGGAGATTTTATATTTTCCTGGAGGATGTTAAATTGCCTTCTGAGGAATTAACAGGTCCACACCTGCAAATAGTAATGACTCATTTATTATCAAACTTGATCTTTCCCAGTCTCCTGGGTGTAAAATTCTATCTCCCGGTTGTTTTATCGTGCTTGTCTTTAATTATGTGTATGGCTGGGCATCTTTCCCTGTTCTGGAAAGCCATTTGTATTTTTTCCCCCATGTAGCTGTTCAATCCTACATCATTCGTCATGTTTTGCAAATATATTTTCTAGTTTGCTTTAGACTAATATATTGTAGAAAGATTTAGGGCAAAAAAGCATTTTCTAAATAACCCAACGCTTATCAGAAAATGCAAGACACCACAGTACTTCATTCCCTAAGCACAGAGAATAAAATAAATAAATAAACATCTGAATGGGCAAATGGAAATTTTTAATATAGCTTATTCCCAGGTGACTAGGCTGACTAAACCTAGTTCAAGGGAAAAGGTCATCAGCGCTTTGCAGAAAGGCAAGATAGGACTCTGCCCCTGCTTCCAGGCATGGGCGACCATATAGCATGAGAAATTCCCCCTATGTGCATTTAGTCCGTGTCCCCTCCATGATCAAGCTCTTTATACACTCCAGGAGGAGACATCCTAGAACCACTAGAGGGTGCCTCCCAGTGTTTTCCTTCGAATGCATCCTTGTCATGAAATGACAAAATGCCTCCACCAAGACCTAACTCATCATCTCACAGAAATCAGCTGTAATTAATGCAGTTACTAGTTTTTGCTTTCTCAGATTAATGCAATTCCAGAGGAAAAAAGGAGAAATGGAAAGAATTTAAATCAAATAGAATAGTGTAAGAGACTAAAACAGTTAAGTGACATTCTGGCAATGGGGGTGGGGCGGGGGGGGTGGGACATTTGAACATAGGATGTATCAGATAGCATTAACCCACTGCTTGTCAGGCTGATTCCAGGTCACGGTGACCCTCTGTTAGTGTCCTCAGACTGCAGAACATTCTCTTGAGGGGCTGCTCAAAGCATCAGCTTTTTGTTTAGCATTCCAGTACTTAACACACTACACGACTAGGGTTCTTTATCAGGTGGCTTTCGAGAACTGACCATTCTGTGGGAGTGTAGATGTAGGAACATTCCATTTTAGAGAGGTAAACAGATTCATCCTGGAGAGGGTTAAACTGGGCAGCTCCTTGGAGGGAAGGATTCTGAGTCTCCATCTAACATACTTTGGACATGTTGTAAGAAGGGACCAGTCCTTGGAGAGGGACATCATGCTTCATAGGGTGGAGGGACAGTGCAGGAGGGGAAGACCCTCGATGAGGTGGATTGACTCAGTGACTGGGGTGATTAGGATGGGTGTATCGGAGACAGTGAGATTGGAATAGGACAGAGCAGAGTTTAGGCCTGTTGTACACAGGGTCACTATGAGTCACAAGCGACTCGACGGCACATAACAACATATTTTAATATGCCTTCAAAGCCTCCTAAAATTAACTTTAGAATTGAAATACTGAGGGGGAACAAAGGAAGGTTGGTTAACAATAGCAGTCTATAGGTTTATCTATATTTGTTGTATAATTTACAGCTTCAGTATGTTCAGAGTTCATGATAAAATGTTCCCTATTCCAGTTAAGAGCTTTGCGGTTCTGTTTTGGCAGACTGTTGAAGACGTTCCACTGTTGAGACTCTGGGTGGTATAGTTTTTCACTTGGCTACCAACCGAAAGGCTGATGATCAGAACCCATTCCCAGGGCCCGCAGAAGCAAGGCCTGGAGCTCAGCTTCTATAGAGATTACAGTCGCTAGAACTTCACGGAATTCGGTCTGTTTCATCCATGGGGTTGCTGTTAATCAGAATCTATTTAAATGCATCAGGACTAGGGGTTTTGTTTAGTTCTCTATCCCTTCAAACTCAGGAAAAGGACTTAAATCAGTGCAAGATTTCTATTAAAGATAAGGGATTCCCAGCAATGTGATTCAACACCTTAATAAAGAGGTATATAATATATACCCCTAGAAATATTTGAAAAGAAAAACCAAGCATACAAAGTGGGCAACAGGAAAATTCCTTCCAGCCCTGTGAGTTCCTGGGTAGTGGGCAAATTCCTTCTCCAGCAATAAAATCAGGAGATTGTTGTGATTATTACTTTATTAACCTTTCTATTTATGAAACTGTAAATACAGCCATATGATCTAGACGGGTAAAGTATAAGGTCTTGAATTCTTATTTTTATGGTCCCCTGTCCTCAGTGTATTGCACCTGTATGTCCCTGTGGAAATAACATCCCATTCTAGTGCAGACAAGAGAAATGAAATGTCTTGACAGTGTTCTCAGGGTCAATACAACTGGAATTGAAATGTGTTGTTAGGCCAGATCAATGAGTTTTAAATAGGCTTCTGCTTCCAAGAACCCTAGAAGTCATTTTTAGATGGTACCAAATTTCCATGGACTGAAAATTAGCAGTAGCAGAAATTATGCTTTTGAATCATCACACTGCCTTTTTGTTTTGCTATTTAAAACAACATGAATCACTACTGAGAGGTAGCCAAGGCTCATTAAAGGCACGAAACAACCTCGGGTTATTTAAACAGACACTTCTGGCTAGTGACAGATTAGGCAGGGAAAGTTTCTTGGAATAATTTTGAACAAAGACAGTTTACAAAACTAAAAACTACTCATCAGGTTATGCCAATATCCTGTAGCAGTACAGTTTAGGGGTGGGGGTGTGTTTTACACATACCGTCAAATCGGATCTGACTGGTACAGGAGATTGCCCCTCTCCACCAAAGCATCTAGGGGATTCGAACTGCGTGTCTCTGGGATTGCAGTGCAGCTTCGTTCAGATCCGAGTGGTACAGGAGGAGATTGCCCCTCCTTCTCCACCAGATCATCTGTGGATTCCTCTGGGATTGCAGTGCAGTTTCTTGCCACTAGGCCACCAGAGCTCCCTTACAGTTTAGGATCTTATTTAAAATGATTCTACATACCATTGAGACTTCCTACTAGGAAACTTACCTAAAGAATTCTTTCCTTTCCCAGCAGCAGGAAGGTGAGAGCATGACATTTGACCCTCGACTGGACCATGAAGGTATCTGCTGTATCGAATGCAGGCGGAGCTACACGCACTGCCAGAGGATCTGTGAGCCCCTGGGGGGCTTTCAGCCATGGCCGTATAATTATCAGGGCTGCCGCTCAGCCTGCAGAGTTGTCATGCCGTGCAGCTGGTGGGTGGCCCGCATCCTGGGCATGGTGTGAAACCACTTCACGTACCGGGGCTGTGGAGGAAAAATTAACTCGAGACACCCAGAGAAGCACGAGGCACCTTGATGCTGAAGGACCACCAAGTATTTTGCTGTCTGAGGGGAAATTATTCCCTCCGATTAAAAAGTACTTGTCAATTTCTTTGACTTTTCTCCCGTTATCTGCAAATGTACTGAAAAGGTAGTTTAAGCCTAATCCTTTTATTACTGTTTTTTAAAATCATGCTTTGCTTTCTAATGTCTTCTTGTAAGCTTTCCCGAGCTATCTGAAATAAACATGAAAAATTTATAATTAGTGAAGGATCTCAATTGTATGCATAAATTCTTTTTAATGGAGTCACTGAAAGATCTGTTCTGTGTTGTTACTAAGTACATAATTCCTCAATTTTTGTTTTTAGGCAGCTTTATTTGGGGAAAAAAGGAAGATATTGCTGAAGCAGTCAGTGGGGGAACGCTATCACAATAGGATGAACACACCACCAATTTAAGGAGAAAGCTTGTTAAAAATGAACATCTGTTTTCTTTTGCTTCTCTCCTTCATAATCATTAACCTTCCAAGACTTATTCTGTGTTTAAATAATTTCTTAGCTTTTTATGTTGTGTGCTGTTGAGTAGGAATTGATTCATAGCTGACCCTCCAGAACGCTTTCAGAAGTTGTAAATCACTTGGGAAGAAATTGCTCAACTTTCTCCTATGAAGCCACCAGTAGATTTGAACCATATGCCTTTGGGTTGGCAAGGCACCTCCTTACTGCTAGGTCACCAGAGGTCCCTTTTATATTTAAGCTCTTATACCATACTTGTCCTCTTGTGATTTATATCATACAGCACAGTATGTTCTAGTCCCATCCATGTTCTGCAGTATTTCACAAATTCTTCCTCATTTTTGAATGATGCATAATACTCCGTTATGGGAAATGTTCTTAACCCTATTGTCCTTCCCCTGCAAATGTGCCCTTGGGGTGGCCATACAAAAACACAAACCAAGGCTTCAAAGAAGTCTCATTGCTGCTGATAAAGCAAAAGCTCAATTTTTGAAATCCGGGTGCTTCGGGACACTAGCCAGAATGAGGGGAAACTGCAGGTCAAAGTGCAGGAATTAAACATTTGAAAGAGGTAAACCAACCCCATTTTAAAGTCCAATGCCAGGACTCTGGAGAGCCATACACATTCAAAGTGGTGCAATCTGGCACCATCTGAGCTGGGAATAGCTATCCTTTACTCAGTTGGTCAAGAGGTTTGGTTGCTATGCAACATGCACACTGCTCATTTTCTAAGAAGCAAATTAGTTCTTAGTGGGGCTCTGACCCTCTGAGTCAGTTCCAGACTACAGTAACAGGACAGGTGGGAGCCCTCTATCAGCCATGACTAAACTAGGCTCAACTGGCTGGAAGCACTGAAACAAGAAGGAATATGATGGAATCTACTTGAAAGAAAGCAATGTTAAATTTCAATTATGATAGCACATAGGAAGTCCTTTCTACTATGTACTGCCATGTGATTAGTAAGTGCCTGCCCTCTGCTAAGAGTCACCTCCAGCAAGAGAGTTGTAGGATAAAAGAGAAAAACGGAGTCAAAGATAAATTAGACTTGTGGTAAGGAGGATGACTTTATTGACATTCTGAAAGGCAGTTCTTTACTCTCTTCAATCTGTTTTCAATAAGTGGTCACTGGGCATGAAGAAGTGCAATGATTTCTATTCCTATAGTACAAATCAGGCTGCTGATGGAGTGCAATTACCAATCAATTAATCTCCCAGTAATGGGGATGGCAGGGATGCATGGCAAGCAGAACTGAGGTGGAATGGTTTTTGTGTAATGATACACACTGTGTCTTTAAAAACTGGAACATTAGCAAGAGTAAATGTTCCCTGGTTTTGACATTTTACTTTCAAACCGCAGTTTCTTAAAGAACTTATCTAAGGGGAAAAAACTTTTTTTTTCTATAATTATATTTTGTTTTCATAAACATTT